ACTAGTACTACTTCCTGTACTAATATCGTAGGCATTATTCAACGGTTTACAAAAATTTTGGGCGAGGAGCTTAAGTTCATGTTTTAAAATCATGTTTGAAACTTGATTAATTTGCATGAAGGGTAAGACCCATCAATCGCAAATAAGTTTTCAAGGAGAAAACTGACAAATGTGGAAATGTGTCTGCATACATAGCTAGATTGGTTGAAAAGGATAAAATTAATTCACAACGTTGATTTAATAAAACCTATTCACTAATTGGAATGCTTAAGTCTTTTCGTGATTATTCTAGCAAAATTGCGCATATTAAATATGGAAAAATAGATATCGAAACTGGCTTCCTAGAAATGGGATTTGGAAGAGACTATGGATATAGTCTAAGGGATTTGTAATTCTAAATAATGCTAGATGTGAAAGCAATCTCAAGAAATCTATTGGTGGATTGAGAGAAGCATTGCATGTAGGAATTGGAACATGTATTCTCGTAAAGTTAATAAAAGGTTTGGCTTATGGAGAAACATAGAAATTCTTATGGATAAGAAGTTTAGTGGGAGCAAGAGTCAATCTTAAAAGGTCCAACAAGAAGTTTACGAACTCTATTGTGAAATGACTATCAAATGCTAAATGCTTAGGTTTGAAAGTATTTTCGACAATGGACCAAGCGAAAGGCGATACTTAGTACATATTGGGAATTAAGATCTATTGTATAGACTTAATAAAAGGTTTAAACGAGTAGAGGAATTTACCGTGTTAAACATGAAGGACTTGGAAATCCCTTCGACCCATATGTATAAAACTAAGTAAATGTTTGAACTAAGTATAAGCTAGGCTAATACTAAATCAAACAAGAAAGACTCTAGTAGAGACTTTCAACCGTATCATATAGCAAACAGTTTAGCAAGACTCGGTACTGGATGAGCTAAAAGGTCACATGAATGGAATAATATTGGGAATAATTCTACAATTGAAACCATCATGTATGCTATGATATGGAGTCGTCACTCAACTTACATGCTTAAAACATGAAAAGTATAAAATACCAATCAATTTAAATCTAAGTGATGGATCATTAGATTATGATCAAGAACATCCAAAGTACTTGGATAAGTAAAAGGGATGAGTTCTTGACGCATAGAAACAAATGTAATTTAAGAATTGATGTTGCAAGCACATCGTTAGCAAGGATCAGATCCTTAACAAGGAAGCCGTTTATAAGCACGAGCTAAAATGCGTCGAGGCTTGAGAATGGTAACATGGAAGCACATCTATGTGTAATGTGCGGAAATTTAAGGTAAATTTCCATGATCACAAGTGATTAGGGTATCCCAAATCATTGTGAGTCGTTTCGAATGGAATCCAAGCAAAGCACCATTAGGAAGTCTACTGAAATATATGTTGAGAATAGTGTTGTCTGAAAAAAAAGTTCGTTGTTGAACATTGATGATTGTAGGTTGTCAAGTTGAAGATCTCAAATCATGAAAATGAGTGGGAGCCATCACTTGGAAAATAAATCCTAAATAACATAATCCATAACACTCTCAAATTTTATCATCTTATTATGAAAGTATTCGATAATGAAGATGCTAAGATTTGCAAAGTAATCATAACTAAACCTATGCAATAAGTGAACGACAACTTTCACTATTGCATGAAAGAAATCAAACATATTAAATATGGGTGTGATTTCTATAAATGTTTTGTGAAGAGTATTACTCTTGAAACATTTGAGGAAAACCATTTATCATAAGATGAAAAGTTGAAAAGTTTCATAGTGGAATAAAAAAAATTTACTAATAATTCCACAAACTATTTAATTGTGGTTTAGAATAAAATAATGAGTCCAATCGATTTTGAGAATATTCAAAATAGGGTATCAAGACAATGTCTTGGATAAAGAAACACCTATTAAGTGAACATTGAATATTTCAATCAAAAATTATCCCTAATCAAGGTCATTTAAAAGTTGGACGACTAGTGACCAATTGAGATTAGTGTGTAGTATGATTTATATCACCGTTTCTTGTGCTACAAGGATATGATTGTCATAAATCATTTGCACAGGTATTTGTTTGGAACTGTACTGGATTGACCTATGAGAATACTTTAAGAGATTTAAAATCGTCATAAGTATATTTCTCATTATAGCTATCAGAACCTTTTTCCTCGACCATGAGTATTGTAAGTTCTCTTATTTGAGTACTAGTCCGTTGTGATGTTGTCAAACGTTTGTCGTAAATGGGGTTTATAACGGCAACACTCGAGCGGCTAGGTCCTCTTAGTAAGGGAAGCTAACAATACAAGACTGGGAATGTCCCCCTATTAACAATAGGGAACATGTCTTTGTTGTTTACAAGGATTCTCGAAGAGCGAGACTGTGAAAATGCATGGCCGTGCTCAGATGGATTTTAGAAATCATCTACTTATTGACAGTCGAACTTGGAAATCGAGAAACACTTCTGGACGTAATAAGGATGACGAAGAATCTTACCTTATAGTTCATGAAGAGACATTAAGTAACATAGGAAATGGGCTATACACTAACAGCGCACTTGTCCGGAAGGACAAGTGGGAGATTAAAAGGAATGGTTTCCTTCGAACAAGTATATTATTCCGATAAAGGGTTTGGAATTATTAGAAAGCTAATTATTCGGTGAGGTCAAGTGATCGGAATTCCTAGTTGGAGGCTGCTTCCAATCAGTAATATTAATGTATAATTAATATTACAGCTTAATCTTGACTGAACCCTTCGGGCCACACCCAATCGAGTAACAGAACCAAAACGACGAATTAATTCGAAGGATTAAATGAGTCATTAGAGTATTACGAACAAAGACGCCGGATATCGAGCTTAGAGCGTCGAAACCGAGCGTCGTAAGTCGAGTCGTATTTAGAATTCGACAAGACGAGAAATCAAGCAAACGACAAGTTTAAGCTAAGTCGTAGCTTCGCATTGGCCTAGCTATGCGATGGGGCTAGGCTAGCATAGGGCACCACCGCATCGCATGGCTGTGCCGCAAGCCAAGCATGCATGTGCGTGCTAGGCTTGGTGGTCGAGCATGCTTGCGGGGTTGGTGCACCTGGTCGCACGCATGCTAGCAACTGGCGCGCCATGTGTGCTAGTGTACTGGGCCTCGCACTCAGCCGCAAGCATAGCAGCAACAAGGCTGCGCCTAGCATGAGCATCGCATCAGAGTAGCAGCGTGCTATGCGTGCGAGTGTTGTGAGTTGTGCGTGCTTGCGTGCTAAGCAGCGCCTAGCACAAGCAGCAGCTAGCTAGCGATGGTAGCACAGCATGTGCATGTGCCGCTTAGCAAGGCTGGCAACCAGCCATGCCTTGTGCCCATGCCAGCCACAGCATGTGCGTGTGCCAGCTCATGCGTGTGGGGAGCCCGGTTTTGGTGGGTTGCTTAGGGAGCAAGGGGAGGATGGTCCCCGCCCCCCTTGTGGTCCTCACCTAACCCCTTGCTCACCACTTGACACTTGGCGTTTGTTGATTCACTTGCATTTCAATTTGATTTTTGAATTAAAATAAATTGAATAAAGTGCATTTTACCAACTCTCCCACATTGATGGGAGATTGGAATTCAAGGGCTCCCTTCCCTATAAATACCAATCATTTGGCATTGGGAAGGGACACTTGAGTTGTGAATTTTAAGAGATCTCCAAGAAGAGAATACCTTAATTCTAATACTCTAAGTTTTCATAGTCTAGCCCCGACTAACCTTCGGGGTAGGGGCCGTTTGGGTCGGGTCTCGAGGGTGAGAGCCGTCGAAGGCTTGTGCAGTTGCGGAGTTTTACGCTTTCAAGTATGAGCTCTTAGAAAGAGAGAAGCACGCATCAAGGGTAAGATCGTCTTTTCTTCTTTCTCTCTCCTTGTTAATTAATTATGTGATTGTTAATTAATTGATATGAATGTTTAGTTACTTTAATTTGTGTGCGGATTTTGGGAGGGTTTCATTCCGCGTAGTGTCGGACAGTACGAAACCCAACATTACCAATTCTTTGGAAAATACTCTGGTTCCTTCACTTACAAGTTACAACCAAACTGAAATCATTTTTTATGGAAGTTACTTAATAAAGGTATATTAGTTAAATAGTGAGCTTCATCACGAAGCGTTACAATTATGGATGTGTTTTGCGATCTATGCAATATTCAAGGAAAGTTGAATACCTTTTCTATCATTTTAAGAATTATTGAATTACTTAGAGCATAAATATCAAGGGGGATGGCTTTTTCCTCTCAAACATTCTCTCTCCTTACCCTATTTTGACACCTCATACTCTCTTTCATCCACCTCATTTCCCGCTATCTCTTTCCTCTCTTCCATCCTCTTCCATTTATTTTTCCTACATCAAAGGGTTTCCTCTTGATATATTTTATACTGTAAATATGGCCCCACCTTCAAATTTTATCTTTGTGAAGGATTATTTTTTATTGATTTCTTTAATAATAATAATAATAATAATAATAATAATAATAATAATAATTGTAGTAGTAGTAGTAGTAGTGGTAGTAGTAGTGGTAGTAGTAGTAGTGGTAGTGGTAGTAGTAGTGGTAGTAGTAGTGGTAGTGGTGGTAGTGGTAGTAGTAGTGGTGGTAGTAGTGGTGGTAGTAGTGGTAGTAGTGGTAGTAGTAGTAGTGGTGGTAGTGGTGGTAGTGGTGGTGGTAGTGGTGGTAGTGGTGGTGGTAGTGGTGGTAGTAGTGGTAGTGGTGGTAGTGGTGGTGTGGTGGTGGTGGTGGTGGTGGTGGTGGTGGTGGTGGTAGTGGTAGTGGTGGTAGTGGTGGTAGTGGTAGTGGTAGTAGTGGTAGTGGTAGTGGTTTTAGTGGTAGTGGTAGTGGTAGTGGTGGTAGCAGCAGCAGCAGCAAATACAAGAAACTAAAGACAAATAACTAATTATCCTTGTTTTCCTTACCGATTACTAGTATGCCCAAATCTTGCCCACAAATGTTCTACCAAATCTTGTTTAAGTGACATATGAGTTTGTTTATCGTGGAGATTTTATGGTATTGCCATTAATGTGGTTAGATTAGGATTTTGGTAGCACGGGGTTACGGTGAATGTCGTTGCTCTTCGGTTTGAAGTTCCCGCTAAATACTCGGGTTGTTCAGTAGCAAACTCATTAGGATCCCAATAGTTAAGATAACTATCGCTCTCATCTTCCACGATCATATTGTGCATGATAATACACGCCATAACAATTTTCCACAACATTTCGATACTCCATGCCAAAGCATGACGCCTTATTATGGCAAATCGAGCTTGCAACACTCCAAATGCACGTTCTACATCTTTTCTAATACGCTCTTGTTTGGTAGTAAACATTCGTTGTTTAGGGGTTTGAGGTGCATTTGCCCATTTTGGGTAGATCCCATCTGTGAGATAATACCCTTGATTGTAAGTATTTCCATTCACGGTGAACTGAAGTTGTGGAGCAAGACCATTTAAAATGTCGTCAAAGACGGGTGAACGTTGAAGGACATTTATATCGTTGCACGATCCAGGTGTTCCAAAAAAGGCATGCCATATCCATAAATCCCAAGATGCAACAGCTTCTAAGATAACCGTCGTCGTTTTTTTACCGCCCTTGATACATCCCTTTCCACCCCGCTGGATAATTTTCCACTCCCAATGCATGCAGTCGATACTTCCCAACATACAAGGAAAACCTCTTTCCTCTCCTTCTCTTAGAAGGCGATTCATATCTTCAGGGGTTGGTTTCCTCAAGTACTTTGCTGAGAATTCACGAATCACTCCGTCAACGAAGTGCGTGATACAATGCCTAGCCGTAGTTGCCCCAATCTTGAGGTACTCATCAACTTGATCAGCTGCGCAGCCATATGCTAACATCCTTATAGCCGCAGTGCACTTTTGTATTGCAGAAGCACCCAAACACATACTAGCATCTGGATGTTGCTGGAAAAATCGATCAGTTTCACTTAGTTGATTCACTATCTTCATAAATAGAGGTTTCCGCATGCAAAACCTACGTCGAAACTTATCATCACCATACAATGGTTAGTCGCTGAAATAGTCAGCAACCAACTGATCATGTGCTGCTTCACGATTACGGTATAACTTCCCTTCGTTTTCTCTGACGTGGAACATCTTCTTGTTGTTGTTTCGTGGTGGTGTTAACCACATATCTCGATGCATCTTCTATGACTTGTTGTTGCTGATTTCCCTCAATAAAATCAAGCAACATGTAGTCATAGATTTCATCACTAGAAGTGGAAGAATTTGAATTACTACTCATTTTAAAATTACTAATATGTAGTAGTTGTAGTTGTGATAGTGAAAGTGTTGTAAGTGAAATAGGTCAATTTATAGACAATTGAGATAAAAGTTACAAAAAATGAATTGCAATCTGGTAAGATAAGATTTTTTTACCAGAAGATAAGATTTTCTAACAAAAGATAAGATTTTTTAACAGTGGGTAAGATTTTTGGTAGATAAGGTAAGATTTTTTATCAGAATGTAAGATTTTTTATTAGAAAATAAGATTTTTGTTAGATAAGGTAAGATTTTTTATCAGAGGGGTAATATTTTTGGTAGATAAGGTTTAAAGATTCGAAAATTACATTTTTTTTTTAGTAGAAAACATAATATTATTACTCCAACACATAAGATTACAACATCTAATATCAACTAAAAATACAAACAATTAAAATTACTACTACGTACGATTACATCTTAAGTACTACAACAACTCTTAAACATAACGTTATTAGCTGAAAGACAAACACTTGAGACAGAAACTAAAAGATAAAATAGTTAATACATAAAAATAACTAATACTTAACTTATATCTTTAAAAAAAAACCTGTTACTAAACTCCTCTCTAAGCTTCTTGTCCATGTCGGCTTCAAATTCATCGAGGACGGGTTTTTCCATCAATGAACGTAACATGCCGAATTTCATCTCCTCTCCTTTTGGTTTTTTTTATCTTATCTCCTTTTGCTTATCAAGTCGATCATTTGTTCTCCTTGATCAAGCCTCTTATCACTACATTCGTCAAGAGTTGTATTGAAAGCTTCAAGGTTTATCGATGTAGAAGAATTACTACCTTCTGCAGCTAAACTCTTTGACTTTTTTATACCCGGAGGCTTCTTTCTTCCAGCACTCACACTTGGTGATTCTGGTTTGGATCGTTTCCCACTTCCCTCGCTCTCCAAAGGAAGTTGTTGGACCATATGTGGGTCCCATTAGGAAATTTTGCATTGTTTCAAAACGATGCATCAAAGTAAAGTGTTTTCCATGATTGAGTTTTGCATAATACCCACGTTGGACAGCGTCCCCGCCTGAGTTTCCACTTTTCGGGTGTCGTAGGATATAACCATACGCCATAACCCATTTTGAAACCCACTTGTTGATAAAATCCCAACGTTGTTGCATGGACTTAATGGTCCGTTCTTTTATCTCTTCAAGGTTCTCTACCCGTGCCTCTTCATATAACTTCCAAATTGCAGCCCATAAGCCGGCTTTAGTTCGTTTTGTATTTATGGTAACGTTCCCACCGGCATTGATGTAGCCTAAAACAAGCGCCTTATCTTCAGCTATACTCCATGCACTAGCTTTTTTATCGTTGGGGTCTTCTCCAGTAATGTCAACAACATCATCGTCGAGATCTTCTAGATCTTGAGCTTCCCGCACATCTTCTGTTGGAGAAGCAGTGCTACTAACATTTACTCTTGGAGATTGATCCATGGGTTGGGTAAAATGTTGGGACATGGCAAATAATGGGACATTTTGTGAAAATGAGCTCCCATGAAATTGGTGAGGAATTGAGATGTGTAATTCGGGTTTATAGGTCTTTGGTGGCTACCAAACCATTGCAAAGCAGCTTGAAATTGTGGATTATTGAATATACTCGGATCAAAAGGGGGAGTGTTTGAATTGTATTGAGGATTTGGATTATTTTGGAAAATTCATATTTCTTCCAAAATTATGATTATTTTCATCCATTACAAAAGAAAATTATAAAAGGAGAGGAAAGAGAGGAAGGAGTGAAAAAAAATGAAAAATTGAAGTGCATAAAAAATGGCCAAAATTAGGTTCATTTTATAGAGAAAAAAAAAACAACCGTTGGTAAAATCAGTTTTTTAAAATATGTTACCGTTTGTGATTAATTACCGTTATAATTTTTTTGAGCTAGTAAAATTATGTAACAAAAAAACAAATAAAAGGTTGACACTTGTCAGCCAATAGCAGGTCAATTTAAAAATCTAGCCGTTACAATTTGCTTTGCTATTTTGATGTTTCTGACCGAGTGTCAGGAGCTTTTCATTTTTCTTTTTTTTTATTTAGCAAAACGTTGCCGTTTGTTGTACAAAATTGTTTCAAACGGTGGGTTTCGGCTGTTTGGCTTCATCCTCTTGGCACAAAGGACGAGGTGCTCAATCCTTCACCAGATGAGGATTGTTTTAGAATCCTCTTCCCCTTGAGGATCCTCTATATTATCCAACATCAAAGAGGACTACTCCAAATCAGCAAAAAACCCCCATACAAGAGGACATATATCCTCTTTGATATTTATGCTCTTAGGGGTGTCTATTCGTTTTCCGGTTTAAAGTTAGGCTAAATTCAATCCGATCTGAAATAAAATTCCGCTTTGATTTTTCATATCAAATCTGATCCAAATTTCTTATCAAATCCAATCCGATCCAATCCAAATTAAAATTCAGTAATTTGAATACGATAAGAAAAACCAAATTTAAATCTGTTGCAAATTTTAGAGGCTAATGCAATTATAAAAATAAAAATGCAATCATAAAAATTCAAGTTTAAAAATATAGTTGTACATGATTAATACAAGTATTAAAAACATAGTTTTACATGATTAATATTAATATAATTAAACATTGTTTTATGTGATCAATATAAACGATCTTTATTTTTAAAATCACGAATTCATATTTCTGTTATTTCGTGTTTTGGGTCCATACAAGGTCAATTCGATCTAATCTGAAAATCTGAATGTTCAATAAATATCAATTCGATCCAATCCGATTTAAAATTTGGATCCGATCCGAATTAAACATTCGTTTGGATTGGGTTGGATTGGATTTCGGTTTTAATCCGGATTATGGACACCCCTAACAATACTGCTAGAATAGTTTGGATGAGGGGTGGAAGCCTTAGCATCACGACTAAACAAAATGAAGATCTTTCTCTCTTAGATTGGATCCAACATTGTATACAACTTTTTGTTAGTTAGGATGATATTCGGAGTAGTCCTCGCATAATTACTTTGCATGTTTTGAATGTATTGAAAACACACAATCTTTTTATACGAACAACCTACTATAGAAAATCCTTAGTCTTCTCTCTTTAATGGTGGTAGGCACCCACCTGATTTTTATGCAGCACAATTGGGAAAACTTCCAACATGGAATGATTTGGTTCGAATACAAATTGAAGGTTTGTGGTTCAAAGACACATAAAGCAGGTAGTGGTTGGTCCCTTGATAATTATGATCATCTGGACTACGGGATTATTGGAGGTAGTAATTTCGAGTACAAACTTTTAATTCGAAATCGCTTGCATGTTTGTATGGGCTACAATGGGCTTTGAATTCTATCATTTAGTCCACTATTGTGTTTACTAACTCATATAATCTAGTCACTCTTCTTCGAGGTGGTGGTCAAGGAGACATTGATAACTTGTGGCTTATTCAACACATTCAACTTTGTGGATCAACATTTCAACATTGGAATAAATAGAAGGCTAAGACCACGTTGCAAGAGAAGTTGCAATACATTCAATTTGCTTTAATTTTTAATACTATGTAATTTGTTTTAAATAAATTTTTTTTAAACCTAAGTAAATTAAAAAATCAAATCACGATAGAAGCTGCAATACATTTAATTCGCTTTAATTAATAATACTATGTGATCTGTCTTAAACCTTCGTAAAAAAAAAAATTAAATAAATAAAAAATAAAAAATTAAATAAATAAAACCTATTACTTATCTTTACAAATTGAAATTATATTTTACTAAAGTTATTTTTATTAAATGTTGCAAAGTATTTAATTAAGGAGAAGAGAACATGCCTAAGAATATATATCAAAGGGGTGCACTTGCAACAGATGGAATACCAAAGGAAGATTTAAATTTCTAAGCAACTAATTCGGATTAATTGGAGTGAGAAAAACACGAAGCAAAGTGAGGAAGTACTTGATTCTTACTAATGGTTAAAGAAAGATCGCTGGACAACAAATATATCTAAGAGCACAAAGCTAATCAAACCTAAAAAACTTGATTCTTGAACCATCGTTTTGCTAGGGACAAAAACATGCAACGCAAAGGAAGAGTTACAGGGACACATGCCCGCATCAACGCCCATGCAGAGCACCTTCTGAAATAAAAAAAAAAAACTGCCTCAACCCATCAGCTGCTGAGCCCCCGTGATTAATAGTTTCTTCTAAAGGGTGGAATGCTAATTTTGCTGAAACTGTAGCAGAGCTATGTACTGTCACAGACCACAATCAAATAATCCTGCAATGAAAATACATTTGCCACATTGTAACAAGAATAGAATTGATAAAATATCAGCTATCATAGCATATATTGTTATTTAAATCTATTTGACAGCAAAACATTCCCATACGAGGAGCAGGAAATTGGTTCTCTGGTTCTTTACCCTGGTTTAAATCTTTACAATTGACTAAAAGGTCACATTACACAGCTACCAAGCTAGACGCCACCAACTTTGTTGTTTTGTTATTCGTATGAAGGTCAAAAGATAATTGATACAACTATCAAACTGGCATGAGACTGTCCCATTCACCCTGCTCTTTGGAAAACAGCATTGCCCCCTTCAATCTTAGAAATTTAGCAATGTGATGGTTGATATTCAACAAAGCTGAATGAGCATCAGTAAACAAAACCTTACAATATACAGTTATCCTTCTTGTTTGTTCTAGATGTAATAGAATTAAATTTATCAGTTTTCATTCAAATTAAATCTGCACTGGAAACAGTATACAATTGCTACATACACACCTAAGGTATTGCCCCTTAGGTGAGGCCTAATTAGAGGTATTGGATAGTAGTTTAGTATCACAAAGTATCTTAGGAGTTTAGTAATGCCAAAAATTTGCAGCTTATTGCAATGAAATGAAGACTTGAGTAAGGTGTAGGGTGCCTTGCATTTTTGCAAACACAGGTATATATACAATAACTAAATCACACAGATACTCCAGTCATTGTGTACATCACAAGATAACATACCTCATTATTTCACATAACCCAAGGAACCATTTTCCATGTTAACATCCAAGTTCCAGCCTCTGAACACATAGCAACCATTATATAAAAATATTTAGACACAGGTAACCCTTAGAATTTGTAAAAAAAATGTCAAGAATTGCAGTCACTCAATACACTACCTCTCAGCAGCTTCTTTCCTTAATTCTTCAAGATGACTTTCAATTTTCACACAAGCTTCTTGAATTTCAATGTTTTTCAAACAAAGCTCCCTCCATTGTGCAGATAAAACATTTAGCTCATTGCCAGCATTTTGCTGATAAATTATATCATTAGTTAGATTACAACTTTTCACTAAACAAACTGACAAAATTCAAATTTACAAGTACTTGAAAAGAGAAGCAAAATAATCAAAACCAAGTCACCTGTTGAAACTTTCTTTCCCTGTTCACAGTTTCAATCTTCTCACCGTGCTCAGCAGCTAATGCTTGCAATCTATGTCACTCAAAAGGCAAATCCATTAAACACACATAAAATTGAATGAAAAAGAAGCTTCAAAAGTAGTTGAGTCAAATCAATACACCACCAAAGCAAAGGTCCAAAATTACACCTCATGGCACTCTACAGAGACAAAGAGTAATTCTAATATATTCTAGGAATCTAAGGTCATTTAAGAAATAAATTACTTATGAACACCGACAGGATAAGCATTGTCTGATTCTACCCATCCTCCAAATGAAAAGAAAGTTATGAATTGTTTACACATGACCCAATACAAAAGGAACAATTTTGGACTATCTAACAAAATTTGGCATTTATTGTTAAATGCCTAGAAGACAAAATTATACGTTAAAGTAAAAGTTTTGAAGTAACACGATCTTAAATCTACCATAATCATATTCTGGACAAGGAATAATATATTATGTAGAAGAATGATATATTCATAGTAAATATATGTCTCTACATACATAAATCATTCTTGTGCTTCTTTCATATTTCACTACCAATAGAGATTACTCCCTCCGTCCCATAATACGTGGGACGTTGGGGTGGACACATAGTTTAAGAAAACCACAAGTGGGTCCATTTAAAACATTTGTTTATAATATAAAGGATCCTCTTTTGTATTTTTGTATGGTAAGAAAACAAAAAGTGGGGAAGGTGGGGTAGTGAGGAGAGAAAATGTAGGATTTAATTGGGTTTTGGGGTTTGTGGTCCCAAAGAGAGTATAGAAAAATATTTTTTTATTAGTGGTCCCATTCCATATTTAGTAACGTGTCAAGTATTTTGGGACGGATGAAAATAGTAAATGTGTCAAGTATTATGGGACGGAGGGAGTATTATTAAATATGTATTTGTTCCAATCAAAGCATAGTTTTTCTTTTTCTTGTAATTCAAGGTCCAAATGAGAAGAGATAAAAGACAGGCAACATCCATCAACAAGTAAAACTGAGTTTAGACTCTTTCAAAAGGCCATGAAGCATTGTGTTCAACATACAAATACATAAAAAATCAAGCAAAGAGAAGCACATCCTCAATATATAGCAAACCATCCACTTCTGCTCGCATCAAAACATTACATTTAGAACAAGCCAAACTGAACCAACATAACAGCCTTTTCAAATCTCTTAGCCCAAATGACAGCCTTTTGTAATACGTAACAAATTCAATGGTTAAAATTTTAAAACATGGGCAGTGAATAGAGGCAGTATCATTGCTCAGAGGAAAATGCACGACAATAGCAAAACAAGAAGCATTTTCGCTACTGTTTAGAGTAAATGGGCCAATATAAATCAAAGGCTATGCACACAATCAATAAGCATAGAGCCAACACATAACACTAACAAAAATTAATGTCATGAACTAAAGGTCAACCAGCATAAGCAATGGTGCAGAACTCTTCAAAGTCGACTTAGTCTTTTGAGGTATTATCAAGCACTCATGCCAAGTTTATTAGAACTAAGCATCATCTACCAATTATGATGCCTGGACTTGGATAAAAGTTCTCATATCTATAAACCTAAAACTTATCTACAATGTTATCCAAACTAGGGGGTGAAAGTTATTCAGATTTAATCCAAAGTTCAATCATCCCAAATAAAAATACTAATTCGGATTCAATTAAAACCCATGCTGACTTTGCTCCATTGGATTGTCGGGATATATGACTAAGGTGAGGGAGGAAAGATCAAAGTGTCGTAATGGGATTGTTTACTCAACCAACAAATCTACAAAAGTATGTACAAGCACAGAAAATGATATGGCATCTTCATACACAAATAAATAAATAAAAATAAAATAAAATAAAATCATCATACGTACTCTTCAAAAAAAAATATTAAATTATATTACATGTAAGAGTTCTTAAGAGCACACCAAAACCATGTCAACAAGGTTATTTTTTTTTTCCCTAGTATACCAAACAAACTTAGTTCTCAAGAGAATGTGAAACCCAAGAAATAAACATATCCCGAGGAGCCATTTAAGAGTTAAGGAGCCACTAAAAGCAAATCAGTTTCCTTCCTTAATTAATGCTTCCTCAATTTTTCTTACAAACAACATTTCGGTTTTTCACATTTGCCAATGCATAACATCAACAATTAAAATTATAATATTAGATTTTTATAAATTTAAGACGAATCTAACAAGATCCCATACGACTATTTTTCTTTAAAGTATAAATCAAAAAACTTCCTCCGTACTTTTAAAGCGCAATGTTGGAGATTTTGCACTATTCACACCACCTCCTTTAATTGTCTTTTGTAATTTATTTGTTGGAAAAAACATATTCATGTGGTATCTTGTTAGATTCGTTTGGATACACACTTTCACAATATTTAATTTTATAATTTTTAATAAAGTACAAGATATTAATGGTATAAAAAGTGCATTGGCAAGTGTGTAGACCCTAACGTTAAAATTAAAAAAGAAAACGGGAAGTATGTAATTGAAGTTGAGTATGTAAATAGTGTACACTATTAAAATGCTGCAAGTAAAAAATAAAAAATAAATGAAGTATATTGTTATAAATTTAAACATTAATGTTCCAAGAGTTCTCCTTTCCAAAGTTCACCAAAATGAGGAACATATGTTTCCATTATGATGTTTACATATGACCCAAAATCCCTAACTATATAGTATCATATAATCCGCTAATCTATCAGCCGCAGAGCCGAAATCAATTGATCCGAAAAAGTTGGACATTGATACTATTTTGGATAATGATTATCTGATTTTTGAATTGGATATCAGTATATCACATATTAAACCTGCAATATGAAACTTTGGGGTCATTTGGACCTTTAACAATTATATTTACTTAGATATAAAATCAAAATAAAAGAAAACTCACTTTAAGTTCTCTGATCCACCCATTTCCCCAAATTGATCGTCTTCTACCTCCCCCTCTACTCTCCTTCCTATTTGTACATTTCCTATCACCAGCCACCACAAATCCTTGGTTATGCTATCCATTTCTGATGTGAGTCTTTTCTTGTTCTCCTCCCTAAGTGGTGTTTTTAATGAGCAATGGTAGATCTAGGCAGATTCCAATGCAACCTAAGTGGTGGCATATGTGGAACATACCTTATCAATGGAAGAGGTGTTGAAGCGGTGGGGTCAAATGGGGAATTTAATGAGTCTTAATTGTGACTTAAGGGTCATGGAGGGATTACATAAGACGTGTTGTGTGATGACAGGGCTATAATGGTGGCTTTGGATGGTGGTGGGGCTCTTATTTTCCAACAAAGAGTAGCAACCACGAAGAAAGACATTTTGCTTAGTAAAAATTCTAGAATAAACCCGGTGAACAATATACAGACCATCTAGTATATCATTTGAAAGGTGATTATATCATACGAAATGTGATTATAATATTCTAAAGGTGTAAGTATATCATCCAAAAGTGATTATATCATCCAGAAACTGATTATATTATTCGCAATGAAAATGTATCATTCAAAAAGTGAATGTATCAATAAAAAATGTATCAAACAGTAATTATATCATTCGAAAGACAATTATATCACCCAAAAGATAATTATATCATCTGACTAAATTATTTACAATACGAATATATCATTCAAAATATGACTCACTAACAACATAATTATATCATCTTAAAAAGTAATCATATCATCTAGAATGTGACTATTATTTGGGAGTGTCAAAGATTAGGTCTACAATAATTTAGTGTCCGGGTTTATATAAGACCTTCTACTTGCTATGTGTAGACACCTAAAAACGTCTCATCGACCAAAACCCTTAGGTTTATACCTTTCACGCCGTGGACCGTAAAGAGAGCTTCGAGTATATTACAAATGCATAGGAACACTTAACGAAGGAATTGTGATTAATTAAGAATAACTAAAGTTTAGAAGAGGGTGTACGAGAATCAGAGACCTTGAAAAGGCTCCGGTATTTATAACGTGAAGAGATAAAGAAGAGAAAGAATTGTCGAGAAAGCCGCATGCACTGGCGTCAGAACCCGGTGGAGGGCTAGGACACTCCCGCAGCTACAGGAGGAGGAGCAAGCTCCTCGTAGTTCCAGAAGGACATGGGCTCCGCCAACTTGGGAGCTTCACCACATTTCCTACCGTGGTGTCGTAATTGACCTACACGATGAGAAATGTGTTGCTGAGAACATGATGAGGCTCCCAAGTTAGCAGAACCCATGTCCTCCTAATTGAACTACGAGGAACCTACTTCTCGTCCTCTTCTTTCGGAATAGAAGCTCCCATAGTGTCGCGTCGCCGATACATCGTGGCGCATCGCACTGCTTTCCTAACTTTTCTATCTCTTCTTTAGCACTCCACGCTATAATTACAGGTCCCAAACACCATTTTCTAATTCTCGTACACCTTCTTCTAAACTTTACACTTTCCTAATTAATCACAATTGCTCCTACACATTCATACTATACTCAAAGCTCTGTTTACGCTACACGACGTGAAAGGTAAAAACAAGAGGATTTTGGCCGAAGAGATATTTTTAGGTGTCTACACTTTTAAGTTGTTTTGACATTGAGGTTTATTCCTCATCTTGGTATATTTCTACAACTATGCCCTTAATAGGTAAGGTTGATTGACAAACTATACGATAAGAATAAAATACTGAAGTTAGACCTTGTTTGTTTACCTCAATTTCACTTAAGACCGGAATAAATAAATTGTTAACAAAACATTAACAAGTTTAAATTATATCTAATAAGATTCATAAGTTCAAATAAGATAAAATAAGTTTTAAAATGCTTTGATAAGTGATAAGGGTTAACAAGGGCTACCTAAGTAAAATTTACAAATAAATTAACTTTTAATAAAATCAGATAAGTCAAGGTAATAGATTGTATCCTTAGATCAAGTACTCTGGAATGATTAGTAAAAAAAGATTTCATGAAAGCCATTGCAATTATTTTATTTATTTTTTTATAAATAAATACTTCCAAAACAACTTCATTAGAATTTGATTATGGTCCAAAATTTTAGGCTACTTAAGATCTCACAAGATAAATGGAAAGTTTATAGGATATTGGATATCAGAAATACTTTTTATGAGAAATTTTAGATATTCGGGTACATAGTATATAAATGTGGCCGTTACATCGCGATTCGGCCGGTATGTACCGGATTCCAAGCCTACCGATCTGAGATTTCCCGATTTGATGTGGTGTTTTTTAAAACGACGAGTTTTCAGCCGATTCAACCGATACGAACTAAAATTCGCCCGCATTGACCGATATTATCTCACATATGGTTAATTTCAATGAAGTTCTTGTTTTAAAAAGGAAAAGAAAGGGAAAAAACGGAGAAACCTCCATTAAAATCAAAAGAGTTCTTTATTGAACTCGAAGAGGAGAAAAAAGGAGTTTTTTTATTTAGATAAAATCCATAAGTGGGGTAGGTGGGGATAGCGGGGCAGGTTTTTCTTAAAAAAAATTAAACTTCCCCACGTTGATGTACTTGAGCCAAGTATTTAACTTTACTTTTTTTTAAAAAGAAAATAGGTATTTAACTTTACTTTGTACAGCTGTGTAGTGTGTACTATCCTAACTTAATACTTACTCCTTCCAATTTATTTTTTGTAGTGAAATTCGACTATCATTTGGGCCAAAAAGTTTAAATCATATTGATTAATTATAAAATTTAAATATAAGATACAATAAAATCCTAAAATATAGTTTTTAGTTTAATAAATTTCAAACAAAATTCTGCCGCTACAACCGCGACCTAGCCCGCGACTAACGCATCAATTCCATTACCGTGATACCACGACCGTTTCCGCAATCGCGACCGATACCGTAATTTTATTCTATGTTCGGGTTTGTATGTAATGTTTTCAAATCGGAATAATATCTTATATACTCCTCTCGCCCTTAAAACGGATTTTTCACCATATACCACTAAGTTAATGCGTAATTCACCATATACCACACGAAACTTTCTAATACACCAAATACCACTTAGTTAATGTACATTAACACAAAATGCCTTTTTTGGTAACTGCCGTTAGTCAGCCGTTTGGGGTAATTTACTAATTCACCATATACCATTATTTTATAAGTTATTTCACCATAGACCTTATGTTTAAAGTTATTTCACGATATACCCATAATTTTACAAAGGTTTGTGTTTTAAAAAAAAAAAACTAGCCGTTGAACAGTTATAACGGCTAGTTTGTGTATATAAATGTAGTACTTTAGGGTAATTTTACATAGGTTCTAGGTTTGATAAAGCAATTGATATGGAACCTAATGAGCTGACAGAGTATGCTAAAGTGGTTTTGGAGCCAAGGAGTGATGAGCCTAGGTTCTGGTGGTGGAGAATTTGAAGTCAGGGATGGCCATGTCAAGTTCCCTGTCACTTGGGAATATGACCTGTGGGTGTGGGAAATGGCAAGGATCATGGTGTCAGGGCCATTTACAACCAAAGACTTGAACGCAGGGATTTTGTTTACATTAATCATTTCAAGGCTACAAATACAATAACCATAAACATAATTACTCCTATTTTTATTGCTGCATTTACTATCTTTTGCTGCTTTGCTACTCTTCTCTTGAGCTCCTTCAACTCTTGCTTCAACAAGATCTCACCTCCATGCGTGTCTATCCCTCCCCTGCTTTGATTTTCATAACCCGACGGGACATTTTTCTCCACATTACCCTTGCACCACCTGAATGTCTCACATACATCACACTTATAGTACAACCTTTGTGGATTTCTGCCGAATCAGAGCTCCTTATTGCAAACTTCCTACCACAAGAACAAGCTTTGTTTGGCACTCTTACGTACGAAGAATCGAAAGATGATGATGATGATATCGAGTGTGTGGACATCTTTGCAAATGCTTTTAGAAGCGTGACTTGGTACGTGAATCACTAAAGTACTACATTTATATACACAAACTAGCCGTTATAACTGTTCAACGACTAGTTTTTTTAAAACACAAACCTTTGTAAAATTATGGGTATATTTTGAAATAATTTTAAACAAATGGTATATGGTGAAATAACTTATAAAATAATGGTATATGGTGAATTAGTAAATTACCCCAAACGGCAGACTAACGACAATTACCAAAAATGGCATTTTGTGTTAATGTACATTAACTGAGTGGTATTTGGTGTATTAGAAAGTTTCGTGTGGTATATGGTGAATTACGCATTAACTCAGTGGTATATGGTGAAAAATTCGCCCTTAAAAATGTTCATTCAATTCATATAATCATGTAGCACATTTGTTGTGGGCCATTCTAGAATTTGTTGTGTGAAAAAGTAAATGTGATTAGATATCATTTGTACATTTTTATTGTGAGAGAAAACACTAAATGTGATTGGGGACAGTGGGTATTTTTAGATTGAAATGGGAGAATGTATAATTGTGGTCCCATTCCTAAATTAAAAGTGTTTAAACTAATCGTGACGAATGAACAAGAACAATGTGTAAACTATACCAAAATAGAAATTGTGGAAACTATAGCAACTTTCAATGCTTAGACTTATGTAGGCCTTAAAAAGAAACTCCCAATTTGATATCATGTACGCTAGGGGTACCAACCAATTGTCACAATTTCGATTGTAAGTTCTTTTATGTAAAGAAAGGTTACCTCTTCGACAAAAGAAAAACATAGCTAATCAAGTTTTCTTGTGGTTAAAGGCATTCCTTCATAAAAGAATGTATTGCTTTGATAGAGGATTTCTTTTGCTCACTTGATTTAGTATTAGAAAAGGATGACAAATTTTTTAACATTCAAGACCCAAGTGATATAGTTTGAGCCAAAAGTGGTTTATAAATCACATCCTTAGTAAGGTCGGGCATGATTGTAAATTTTTGATACTTAGGTGGATGCACAAAGATTAGCTAGAAGCCAAGAAGGTCAAATCTCACAAAATAAAGAAGTGGTCAAGCAATGGGTGTCAAAGAAAAATGCTAATTCTAGTTCGTAACTTCTCTATTTGCTTCAATCTTCTTTATTTAAAAAGTTATAGTCACAAAGAAAGCAAAGGCCACATTAAACCTTAAATCTTCTCCATCTTCATAGGAGTACACAAAACTAGAAATATATCCAATAACAAATAGAAACATTAAATTAAGGAAATAAATGGCCGTTTATGTGACCCTTTCATCAGAAAAGTAGGTAATACAAGATGATATCAAGACAACCACCAGGAATAATTTAGTCTCACCAAGCTTGTAATAAATCCAAACCAAATTGAAAGATAAAGAAACAAGATAATGACATTAATCCAAAAATTCTCTTACTCCCAAGAAGACATCTTTTACGAAGCACCGAATAATGGTAAGTAAATCATAAGGTATGGCTTTAAAAACAATGTTCAATTGAAATTTTTGCTAGTCAACAGGTCTATACTTCCCACCTAATCCCATGAGATTATAGTATGCATGAAAAGTACAACTTAACCCTATAATTAAGTATAGTAATGTAAGTTGCATAGTATTTTACTATAAATCACCTTTATAGAAATTTTTCCTCTCTATTTATTCACTAAAGTTGGATCCTGAACCACCCACCCACTTTATTTCTCTCTTAATTCTATAAAAATTTTAAACATATGCTTAAGTTAAGGACAAAAGGAATACTTTGGCATTCAACACATACACTTACCAGCACAAGAAAAATGTTTCCCATCTACAATGAATAAAGAAGCACATTATACCATTATACAAAATAGACCATAATTCATGACAACCCAGTACCTTGTAATATGTAAATCAAAATGAAATTAGCAAAGTATCAGCATTAAAAGGTTTTATAGCTACAACCAATATGGGAAATGGTAGAAAACTCCCACCCACTCTTCCCTTTCCCCATCCCACCCCTATAAAGAGAAAAATGGGATAGAATCTAAAGGAGCACTACAGATGTGTAAGAGAAACTAACCGGGTTAAAGACGCCTCAAGCCGTTGGTTGTAGTGCTTCCAGACATCAGGACCACACTTAGACATTAGCTCCAAATTTTCAAGCCTAGGGAGAGCATTAATCATTAAAAAGGAGCTTGTGACAAGAGATACGAAATAAGCAAGTCTACACAAATTGAAGTTGATTAAATAAGGGCAAAAGGACTTAAATAAGAGAGTATGCCTCTCATAGATACCAAAGGAGATGTAATTAATGCTGGTGAACTTTGTGAAAGCCCTTCAATACAAACCAGCAACCAGACAAGCTATTCAATCAGGACATACTAAATTTATTTCCAACAGCAAGTATATTCGATCTACTTGATGTACAGCACATAATTTTCAAATAAAATTGAAATTATACGATATAGATATCATATCACCTTATCTCCTGATGCTGTAGCAAGCGCTGAGCTTTTTGAAGAGCCTGCTTCCAAGCTGTTTCATCATTCTGTTTATTCAATGATGGAGCATCTGGTATATACCGAGATGTATCAAGTGGCATTGGAGGCTTCCCAGCCCTGACTCGCTCATATTCTCTAGCAAGCATTGGATGATCCTAACATAAACAAACGGATTTATACTAATCACACATGAAATTCAACCACATATTGCATGCATAATATTTGGCCCTCATTATCTTTGACATTATTACAGGCCAACAATGTTGGAGTGAATTTTAAGCCCATCAAAACTTATATTGTATCTCTGACCCAAGTACCCCAGCTCTAGACACCGAATTTCTACGTGCAGAGTAGTCTCAACTAATCTCATGGGGGTTAAAAAAATGTAGAAAACAAGTCATGCCATACCATGTTCAAAAGAGTCATAAGACCCCGAAAATGACCAGCATTCAGCCATCTCCTTATCTATGATCATCTTTTCTATACCTTCTCGACCATTCTTAGTTATAACAATAGTAAAAAGGCACTCTCAACTTCTCAAGCCTTTCCTATATTCATAATCTGCAGTACAAATCAATGATAAAATTCCACGCAACGTACAAAACACGTTACGAGAAGTATCCTAAAGGTCTAAAACAACCCAAAAAAAACATAAAACAGAACTAGCACATACAATAATCAAAGTCTAAAGCAAGGGTCTACTTTGTTAATTTTCCTAAATTCACAATAGTTTCACCAGCATAATCATTAGGGTTCTTATGAATAGAAAACAACAATAAAACAGATTAATTTTACAAAATAGCATCAATTGAAAACAACCCAATTCACAAACATGGTTTAAGCGCATTCCAAAAACCCTAATAGCAAAAAAAAAGTTGGGAAATTTGTAGAGAAAAACCTCAAAATTGAACTTGGGAAGGGGAGGAAGATCCTTAAGAAAATCAGAGGGCCTTTTGGAACTTCGGCGCATCTCTTCCTCAACTAAGCGGTCGACTTCTTGTTTGACGGCAGGGTTACCATAGTCATCGTCGATGTAAGGCAAGGCATCGATGGTTTCTGCATTGGAAGCGCTTGCCCATGGTCGTGCTGCATCTGGTGATGCTTCGAGCATCAATACGTCACCATTTGCAGTTTGAGTCGCCATTTTTGTTCCTACTAACTATGTCTCTGCGTTGCCTCGATTTTGTTTGAGTGTTCACCGCGCAGCAGGCCTTACTGTGGCGTGGTGTTAGGATCCAACCTCTTTCATCGTGTATTTTGCTTTCTTATCTCTTTACTTAGTTTATGTTAAAGACTTTCAATATATTCGTGTAAGTAGTTTAGGTGTTAGAGGAGATTATTGTGTTACTGTCATTTCAGTGTTCACTAGTATTTCTCCACATAAACAATATAAAGCTTTATATGGAGCGATGGTTGAATGAATGAAAAATCTCCTATTCGGGTTGCTTTGCTTTAAGACTTGTGTGTTGATTTAAGCCTTTATAGATATTGTGCTTGCCTTGTTTTAAAGCTCCCCACCAAACCAAGAGACTCTCAAAGACGCCTACATCCTTGTCGGTTCCGCTTGTGCCCGCTTCGAAGTATCGGCCGTCACAAGCCCCGACCCTGCACTCGTTACTAACGATTGCCTTATTGAGATACCTTTGGTCCGTGTTGCTGTGTGCCCACGAACCTCTCTCACTCTAGGCTTGCGTTCTTGTTTCTAAAAGATAAGAGCGCGCCGCACGATCCGGTGTCAAACCACTCGGACCGTGACAGTTGGTATCAGAATCAACGCTGCATCGTTGCCTAAACTCGTGTTCAAGTAGCACGCCAGTGATGGAAGATAATCTCGAATACACCTTCGAACAACGGCTGGCCTGGCTTGAGGGCAAGTCCGAACAATGGGCCTTCCTAGAGGAAAGGGTGCCCAAGCTCGAAGATATTGTGATCAAGCAGGATAATGAAATCAGCAATCTACGTTCCACGGTAGATGGACTGTTGGAGCAACTGAATTGTGTCCAGGCACTAGCTGATGAGGTACTCGACAAGTGTGCCACTATGCATGCTCATCAAGGCTTTGGGGGCAGTGGGGGTGCAAAGATAAAGCCGCCCAAGCCCCAAACCTTTGATGGGGCAAGAGATTCGAAGCAAGTCGACAACTTCATCTTTGACATGGAACAATACTTCCGGATTTGTCAAATAGATGATCCCTTCAAGGTGGATACTGCCACCATGTATTTAGTGGAGGATGCGAAGTTGTGGTGGCGCACCAAATATGCCGACATTCAAGCAAAAAGAATCACGCTTGATAGTTGGGAGGATCTCAAGAAGGAGATCAAGAACCAGTTCTGCTCGGATAACACCGAGTTCGTGGCTCGCACAAAGTTAACCACCCTACACCACAAGACTTCCATTCGAGAATATGTGAAGGAATATTGTGCGTGCATGTTAGAGATCCAAGATATGTCAGAGAAGGATCGGTTATTCAACTTTGTGCGAGGTTTGAAGGATTGGGCGCAACGTGAGATTTGGCGCCAAAAGATAGACACTCTAGCTGGTGCTATAGCAGCAGCTGAGAAGTTAATGGATTACTCACCCGATAAGGGCCCTAATCAGAAGAAGGGGAACAATGGACAAGCAACAAGCACTCCTAGAAGCCAACACCCCGCCTCCCAAGTTAGCTCAAACAATGTTGGGAGTAGGTACAACAAGACTGTAGGGGACGACTCTAGAAGGAGTGGAGCTTCCTCTTCATCAAGTAAGGGAAGCACATCAACCTTCTCAACGGGGAACAGACCCCTAACATGCATCCTCTGTCGGGGCCCTCACAAGTGGTTCGAATGCCGTCATAAGGGAGAAATCGATAGTCTCCAAAAGAAGTTATCGGCGATGACGGTGGAGTCAAAACAGACTAAAGAAGCATGCGAGGTAGAGCCTGATGAGGAAGAGCCCTCAAGGCTGGGAGCGGTGCACATGTTGTACGCCATGGGAAAGGAAGAGCCCAAGGAGAGGTCCAAAAACACTGAGTTGATGTATGTAGAAGTGTTGGTGAATGGGAGGAGGGGCAATGCGATGATTGACACCGGGGCCACCCATAACTTCATATCCCAAGGAGAAGCTCGAAGATTGGGGCTGAAGCCGATTCAAGAAGGGGGTAGTATGAAAGTTGTTAACTCAGCCGCCAAGCCAGTTCATGGGGTTGCAAGGAACATCCCAACAAAGCTGGGGGACTGGAGCGGAAACCTGGATTTCATTGTAGCCACCATGGATGACTTTAACCTTGTACTCGGTATGGACTTCCTACGTGCAAGTAAAGTTGTCCCGATGCCCCACTTGGGGTCAGTATTAGTAACTGGACAACAGCCTTGCCTCCTCAAGACTTGCAAGATGAGAAAAGGGTCTAAAGGCCCCCTCCTTTCGGCAATGCAACTAAAAAGGGGGTTGAAAAGGAACAAACCCACATTCCTTGCTACTCTACCAGTGAAAGAAGATGAAGCCCCTCATGAAATCCCCGCAGCTTTAGATAAGCTTCTCACAGAATTTGAGGACCTCCTCCCCAAGGAGCTCCCAAAGGTGCTTCCTCCTAGGAGGGTTGTGGATCAAGAGATTGAACTTGTTCCTTGTTCGAGGCCCCCTGCTTGAAGCCCTTACCGTATGGCCCCTCCCGAGCTAGCGGAACTTAGAAAGCAACTGGAAGACTTACTAGAGTCAGGATTCATCCGCCCCTCAAAAGCTCCTTATGGAGCTCCCGTGCTCTTCCAGAAGAAACAAGATGGGAGCCTCCGATTGTGCATAGACTACCGAGCCCTCAACAAGGTCACAGTGCGGAATCATTACCCCATTCCGTTGGTGGCGGACTTGTTCTATCAACTAGGGGATACAGTGTTCTTCACGAAGTTGGATCTGAAATTTGGCTACCACCAGGTTCGCATTGCTCAAGGAGATGAACCGAAGACCGCATGTGTGACGAGATATGGAGCATTTGAGTGGCTAGTTATGCCGTTTGGGTTGACCAATGCCCCCGCAACCTTCTGCACCTTGATGAATCAGGTGTTCCATGAATTTCTCGACAAATTTGTAGTGGTGTACATGGATGACATTGTAATATATAGCAAGACCTTTGAAGAACACCTCGACCACTTGAGAAAGGTGTTTGAGAAGCTGCGAAAACATCATCTGTTCGTCAAGCGAGAAAAATGTGCTTTCGCCCAAGAAGAAGTTGGGTTCTTGGGACACTTTGTAGGTAAAGGCCGCATAAGGATGGATCCAAAGAAGATACAAGCAATTCAGGATTGGAAAGATCCAAGGAACACTTCCGAGCTTCGGTCCTTTGTAGGCTTAGCAAATTATTACCGCAGATTTATCAAGGGATACTCCGAGTTAGCCAGTCCCCTCACCGACCTCTTGCAGAAGGATCGTCGTTGGGAATGGTCAGAGAAACAGCAAAAAGCTTTTGAGAAATTGAAAGATTCAGTAGTGAGAGAGCCAGTCCTCGCTCTCCCTAACCCCAACAAACCCTTTGAAGTAGAGACAGACGCTTCTGATTTTGCCTTGGGAGGAGTATTACTCCAAGATGGCCATCCCATTGCATTCGAGAGTCGGAAGTTGAACAGTGCGGAAAGGAAGTACGCAGCACAAGAGAAGGAACTCCTAGCTATTGTGCACTGCCTTAGGGGCTGGAGACATTACTTGTTGGGATCGAAGTTCATTGTCCGCACCGACAATACTACTGCAACCCACTTTCTCTCTCAGCCTAAGTTGATGGGAAGACAGGCTCGATGGCAAGAATTCTTAGCTGAGTTCGATGTAGAGTTTGCATACAGAACAGGGGCTAGCAACAGGGTAGCAGATGCGCTGAGTAGGCGAGCAGACCTGGCACCCCTACAAAGATTAGCCCATTTAACTTCAAACAATGTCGCTACCTCTGTACGTGATCAAGTCAAAGCTTACTTAGGAGATGATCCGATGACAGGAACCATCAAGAAACTGATTGAAGAAGGGAAAACTAGACGTTTCTGGATGGAAGACGGACTCGTCTACACAAAAGGAAAGAAACTCTTCATCCTTAGAGCAGGTGGTTTGAGAAAGATGCTCTTGAGGGAATGCCACGACACGCTATGGGCAGGTCATCCGGGTTGGCAAAGGACACTCAACTTACTGAGCACAGGATACTATTGGCCGGGGATGAAAGAGGACGTGATGAACTACACAAGAACTTGTCTGGTGTGTCAACAAGACAAGGTCGACCGACAGAAATCCGGTGGGCTCCTTGAACCGTTACCAATCCCTACTCGCCCTTGGGAGAGTGTATCCATGGACTTCATTAGTGGCCTCCCAAAGGTGGACCAACTCTCCGCAGTAATGGTGGTTGTAGATAGATTCTCAAAATATGCTACCTTCGTTCCAATGCAAAAGGCATGTGGTGCTGAAGAAACTGCCTCATTATTTTTCAAGCACGTTGTGAAGTATTGGGGACTCCCCAAGAGTATAGTGAGCGACAGAGACACGAGATTCACAAGCATATTCTGGTCAGAGTTGTTTCGGATGTTGGGGTCAGAACTCAATATGTCATCAAGTCATCATCCACAATCAGATGGGCAGACGGAGAGATTCAATGGGTTACTTGAAGAATATTTGCGCCACTTCGTCAGTGCTAATCAGAAGGATTGGGTGAGACTCCTCGATGTAGCTCAACTTTGTTTCAACGCCCAAAAGAGCTCCTCATCAAACAAGAGCCCTTTCAAGCTGACCATGGGCCAACAACCTCTCTTGCCTCACACAGTAGCAGACACCGAGGCCGGACGAAGTACTTAAGCACGAGAATTCAAAAGGGAGTGGGAGCAAAATACAGAGATTGCTCGGGCCTACTTGGAGCGAGCAGCTAGGAGAATGAAGAAGTGGGCTGATCAAAACAGAAGACCGTTGGAGTTTGATGTTGGGGATATGGTGATGGTGAAAGTGTTACCCGAACAACTGAAGTTCTTGAGAGGAAGAGATCGAAGATTGATCAGAAAATACGAAGGCCCCATCCGCATCATAAAACGGATAGGGAAGAATGCGTACAAGGTCGAACCTCCAGCATGGATGAAGATACACCCAGTCTTTCACGTCAGCCGCCTCAAGCCCTACCACCCAGATCAAGAAGACTCAAGCCGCAACATCAGCAACCGAGCCAGCATCAGGAGCAGACAGCGCAGCACCTCTTCAGCAGAGACCTAAGGATCAAGAACTTTAGTCTCCTTAGTCATATTTTGTAAGTCGACAAGGACGTCGACAGCTTAAGTGGGGGAGGATGTT